ACAGGGGGAGAAGACACGATGAGAAAAGAGGCACATGAAGCGGACATGGCCGGTTGTGTGTGTGCGTGCGTGTGTCCTCCTTCATCCTCTTCAGAACACCACTGGGCATGGAAGGATGGTGCCGTGTTTGGTGAACGAGAATGATGTAAAAACCACCAGCGCGCCAAAGACGCTCCCTTCTGCCACCATATTCCCTCACAAAAATCTTCCATCTTTTCGCAGTGAGACATAATCCAATCCCCGGACCTGTGGCACCTGCGGTGGGATTTCCGCCTCGAGCTCCATGGATCGCAAGTGCGGCATTTCTTGACCCAACGAGTAGCCGATGGAAGTTGGGAGCGGTGGCGGCGCTGGCACGGGCGGCGGCGAGATGTGGTAGACGGTCGGGCTCTCAGTCGACCGCATGACCCACTCGACGAGACCCACCGCGGCGAAAATAAACACAGCATGGAACCTGAGGCTGGCGAATCGCGCCCCCCGAGCCCCCCGGATACGGCGATGGGCCTTACTTTTCCACCACTTATCCAGCTTGACTAACATGTGACCAAACTACGCACCACACTTTGGTCGTCTTAGTGCTGTTGGCGGGGGCAGCCGTGGCGGATGGCCGCATTAATGCCAGCAAGATAGAAAAAGAAAAAGGGAAGCGGAGGCAACATTTGTGTGCGCACACAGAGAGATGGAGTGAGAGCTGCGCTGATTCGCCAGCCCCTCTTGCACCAACATGCAAGCCAACATTTCGTGGCACACGCGACAAAAGAAATTTCCAGCCCTCAGCCGTTCCTTTTCGTTTTTGCACGGTGCTCCCTCGCACACCCCGTACCCATGCGATTTGGCGGCAGAGTCCGTCCATCGTCATTGTCCATGGGTCCATCCAAAAGGAATGAAATGGCGCCACGCCCCAGGTGCATCCAGGTTCCCTGCCATTCCTTCCGCAGGATAACACCGCTTCCCCGCTCCCAGCGGAACGGCCGCCACGCGGTCCCTCGTGCCCAAGCAGTTAACACCCAAATGCGGTGCACCAGCCCATCCCCTCGCAGTACGCAGACTCACATACATGTGTCGCCATTTCACGCAAGAGGCAATCAGTAAATGCGGCCAAGAAAACCACAAGGGGGCGGGTGGAGGCCACTCCGGAAGCGGCCAGGCAGAGCACAAATATACTCCCGAGCAAATGAACGGATAAACACTGGAAGGGCATCCTCATGCTAAAAGTGCCCATATGCCCATTAATGATATAGCCAGCCTTCGCGCCTTGCACACGGGAAAACACGGACCAGAAATGGTAATATTCCGCGCGGCCAACAACACAAAGGCGACTAGCGCCAAGAAGAACAGAAAGAGGCAACAACAACAAACGAGAAACAAACAAAGATAAAAGCCAGCTCACATAGAGGGGTCATCACCAGTAAGAAACATACACTCATGCCCCTCTTCCGCCTTCGATCATAAAAAGGAAATCCCATAACAAAAATAACGAAATAAAGTACCTCTGAGATTCCATCAGTCCACTTCCCTCGCTCTCTCTACTCTCTTCCTCTTTTTCTTTTCGTAAACAACGCTTTTTTTTTATGACGGTCTGAATGCATGCACCACGGATTCGGGAAGAAAGGGTAAACGTGGCAGGTGGGAAAGATGCCTCATGCCTTGGGAACGGCGCAGAAAAACAATGCGTCATGCTTCTTTGCAAATTCAGCCTCTTCCCTGCAAAGCACACACTCACGCCCCCTCCTTTCCCATAACTACTTCTCCCGCACCCACCCCCGCCCACAACAATGCAGGTGGGAGATGAAGAGAAAGAGCTCCCAACCAGCGTGTTGTCGCGAAATTGAAAAATATGCCTTAAAAAAATAAGAAAACAAAAGAAAAAAAACGTAGTACAATAAAAGTAACAAAAACAAAAACAAAAAAAAACCAGTGTCACAATGGAGACTGTGAACCGCCACGCTACGCGACAGCACCAAAGTACTCCTTGGACTTTTCGGGATCCGGCTTCATCGTCTTGTCACCGGGCTTCCAGTTGGCGGGGCACACCTCGCCATGTTCCTCCACGAACTGGAACGCCTTCACAAGGCGAAGGGCCTCGTCCACGTCGCGGCCAACGGGGAGGTCGTTGACGGTGATCTGCCGCAGGTTCTGCTTCGGGTCGATGATGAAAAGGCCACGGTACGCCACGCCATCCTCCTCCTTCAGCACACCATACGACTTCATGATGCACTTGGTCTTGTCGGCAAGAATGGGGATGTTCATCTGGCCAAGTCCGCCACGCTTGCGCTCAATGCTTGTCCAGGCCAGATGGGAGTACTCGCTGTCCATGGAGCAGGCAAGCACCTCGCAGCCAATGTCAGAGAACTCCTTCACACGGTCCGAGAATTGGCAGATCTCTGTGGGGCAGACGAAGGTGAAGTCCATCGGGTAGAAGAAGAGCACCAGCCACTTGCCCTTGTAGGAGCTGAGGGCCACCTTCTTGAAGGTGCCGTTGGGCATCAGCGCCGTCTCATTGAAGTCGGGTGCCGGGTGGTTGAGCTTTGCGTCTCCGCAGGACATTGTCTTGGAAAAATAAAAGGCTGTTTTTTGTGTTGCTTATTGTGGCTACTGAGTAGTATCTGGCAGTTGCGCGGCAAAGACAAAAGCAACAACAACAACAACAGAGAACATGAGAGAATAAAGACAGAGAGAGCAGAGTGGTGCTGACGCACGTCAGTGTCTCCGTTAAAAACGGCAGTGGGAGAGCTCTTCGCCCATTCGTCATCGGGCTTCGTGGCCGTGTGGGTCTGCAGCCACATCGAAGCGACAGGGGGAGAAGACACGATGAGAAAAGAGGCACATGAAGCGGAAATGGCCGGTTGTGTGTGTGCGTGCGTGTGTCCTCCTTCATCTGCGTCTTATTTTCTTCTCCTTCTATTTTCTTTCCTTTTCTCCCTTCCTTTTTCTTTTTTCTTCAAGATTAACTTTTTTTTTTTTTCACTTCTTTTACGTGTTTATTTGGGAATATTTTCTCCTTCCTCTCTTCTTCTCTTTTTTTTTTTTTTTTTCATGTTTCCTCTTCCTGTTGCTTAATAAATTCTTGTTAATCCGCCCCACACTTCTTAAGCCGCCTCTTTACGGAGTGGTAAAAAGTCCTGGTGAAAGAAACTAGTCAAAACATCTTTTCCTTTTTCCTTTTCCGTGCACCTTCCATGTTTTCTTTTTTTTTTTTTTTTTATTATTATTTCAATTTGTCTTCTCTTGTAGTCCTCTTCTTTGGCTGTGTGTCGTTATATAAATATATATGTGTATATATTAGAAACTATCTGTTTTTTTTTTCTTTTTCTTTTTCTTCTCTGCTGGCCTTACATGTCTACTGCTGTTTGCATTCCTGCTTCCCTTTACCGCCACGGCCACCACTGCCACCCGCACCGCCACGGCCCTTTCTACCGTGTTGGATGAGCCGCGGCTGCGTATTTGGCGCGTCGTCATCCTCTTCATTATCGTCCTCGTCTTCATCATCGTCGTCGTCATCGCCGCCAAATTGAATTTGAATTTGATTATGTAATGCCTGCGCTGTCTGATCAACCGACTTCCCTGTGTAGAAGAATGCGGCCTTTGGCACAATCTCCTCCATCAACAACTGCCCCACCTCAATGTGTAGTTCAGCTTCTGCCTCCTCTTCATCATCGTCATCATCATCGTCCTCATCGTCCCCCTTATCCCCTTTCTTACCCGCATCCCCGCTATGCTTGCCTTCCTTACCGTTGTCGTCGTCGTGATCATCGTCCTCGTCGTCATCGTCCCTGCATGGGTCGGTAAAGAGGGTAAAGAACGACGGACACTTCTCCTCCTGCGTCACCACGCGGATGCTCTTACTCTTCTTGTGACGTTGCTTCTTCTTCTTCAAAATGACAGTGAGATTCTTTTCCGGTGACTTCCACTCAACGGGAGTGGATTTCATGGAGTCAATCTCAAACTCCCCGCTATCCTCATTAAAAGACATGCGGTACGTCTTGCTGAGCACCGTGTTTGTAAAATATTCATTCGGGGCGAAATGGAAGTTCAAACGAACGCCCTTCTGCGGATCATCCTCCACGTACTCCATTACAATGTCCTGCAAAAAACTAAGGGCGTGGCGGTCACGTTCCGTGATCATAGACTCCACCACCTCCGCGTTGCACATTGCGGTCAGCCAAAAGTCCGGAATGCCTCCATCTGCGGCGGCCGCGGCAACTTCAAGACGGCTCTTTTCTTCTTGCGGCGTAACCACCCGCACGGACTTGGCCGCCTTCTCGTCAGTACCCGCCGTTGCCCCCCGCGGCTGAGGTTCGCTCTTCCCTTCCTCGCCGTCTTCGTCGTCGGACGGGATCTCCTGCACACCGGAGGCCACTGTCGTCGTCACCGCGGCGATCTCCTCCTCGGTCACATCGCGTAACCCGCGCACAATCGCGGCGCGCACATCGTGGAGCCGCTGGGCGGCACGCAGATGGTCCATTTGAAGGATGGCAAGCTCCTCGCGAAACTTCGTGCGGGCCTTCTTGTATTCATCCAGTATGCCCTTCAGCGCATACACCTTGCGGCGCTCATGCACCGTCATCTCCTTCATGACGGCAACCAAGTCAAAGTCATCTTCAACCTCCTCTTCATCGTCGTGCTTCGCACCCTTCCCTCCTCCAAAGCTCACCGGGTCAAAAAATTTCGGCGGCAGTTGCTTCTTCTGCATGAATTCCTTTCTTCACCCCTTTAAGTTTTCCTTTTCCACCCTCAACCACTGCAGTGCATCCGTGGCAACACGTGTGGTATATGTGTAAGTGCAAGGAAAGAAAGAAAACAAAAAAATAAAATGGAACAATTTCCTCAAAGTAAATTTCGTTGCAACAACACAACAATTGCGACTGAAGAACATTGCGGCCACACAAACAACAAAAAAACAAATAAATTACAGAAAAAACAGCAACAACAAAAAGTCCATACGTGAGAAAAAGACATCATAAAAAAAAAAGAAAAAGAAAAAGAAGGAACGTGAGTTTTTACGGATTTTCCACCTTCATGCGTTTGGTCACGAGCGTCATATTGCTGGAATTGTCATTATCCTCCTCTTTTTCCTCCTTCTTCGTATTCTCATTGCCATGCGTGCTATCCGTGGCAGCAAATGCCGCCAAGATCGCTTGCAGGTTTTCGTTCGCGGTTTTCATGACTTTATTGACCTTTCCTATGTCCAAGTTTGCTTTGGCTGCAAAGTTGGCGCAGATGGCCTCCGGGCTGTTCGTGCTGCCGATAACACTGTTGCCTGTGGTGTTCACAACGGTTTTTTCTTTCTCCCACTGAAAGCTGCGCGATGTCAGTGCAAGCAACAACGACATGATAATTTTGTCCACAACCCCCACCTCGCGGAGGGAATCGACATGATGAAGCACCCCCAAAAGCCGCTTGCAGCGCGGCATGTAGAGTGACAGTTGCAGACTAAGTTTTCGAAGGTATATTGTAAGGAGGTTGTCCACATACATGGCCTTAAGTCGACGCTCTTCCTCCTCCATGTGTGTCTCCTTTACGATTTCTGCTCGCCGATACTCGACATCGCCAAGTGCGGCGTCAAGATGGCGCAGCTCCGCAAGTGGCACGGGGTGATTCATCTGTTCGGCCGCAATCATGAAGCAGGCCGCTGCAACATCCTGCTGCTTCTCAATTCGCTGACCACGTGCCCGTCGGCCACCCACAAACCGCCTCGCTAACTCAACCGCACGGCCAATCACCTGCTCTGGCAGCGCCGACTTCTTCTGCAGGCCTCGGATACAGTTAAGCATGGCCGGATGGAGTATGATTTTACCCGTCGTGTCCCCACCGGGTGTTTTCGATGCCGAGGACGACAAGGAGAGGGCATGAGGCGTAGACACGCTCATATCTTCACGTTTGCGATGCCGATCAACATCATCATATGTGGCGTCCTTGTCGTATCGCGTGGAGACGCTCTCTTCAAGTCCCATAGCCACAACAATGGCACACTCCGTGCATGCCACTTCACCAAGCACATCGTCCGTCTCCAGGCTATCGATGGCGCCGCAGTGGGGGCAGTTCTTCCCCAAAAAATCCGCCGTAGTTGCCATTTTTTTTTTTTTTTTCCCTGCAGCCGTCCAGGTACGCCCCTCGTCTTCCGTCCCCTCCTTCTTTCCGGTGGCTGCGGAATTTTTGTTGACTCCCCAGTTGGAGCTCTCAGAGACGCCTCCTCCCTAAAAAAGCAAATTCCCACACCCTAGATTAAAATAATAATAATATTTTGGTTAGATGGGAACAAGAGCAGATAAAAGTAAAATAGAGAGTGACGGCAGATCAGCAACAACAAGAACAACAACAAGAAAGCAGTCAAAGGGATGCCGCTGAGCCAAATGACATTTTGTGGAACTTCCCTTCAGCGGAGCCACCCTCCTTTAAGATGTATATATTCGTCATTCGTCGTGTGTTCCCCTCACGGCCCGCAAGAAGCAAAAGAGACAAAATCTCGACATATCTACGACAGCAGAATGAAACAGCGAAATAAAAAGGCACGTGCCAACCTTTCTTCCCGAAAGAGGGCAAAACGAGCTGTCTCCTCATCACGTTTTAAAGGCATTGACGTCTCAGAACGCAGGGCCGGCACTTCTTCTTCTTCTTTTTCTTCCTCTTCTTCCTTCTTTTTCGCTTCATCCATCAACACTTCCGGCACGTCAGTCTTCAGCTCCACCGTGGGGAATTGGTCGCCTTCTGCGGAGCCACTGCTTGCCTGCGTCGTCCAGGTTTGATCGGCGTCATGAGAGCCGATAGTTGCAACTTTCTTCTTTTCATCATCCACAGACGGAGACACCTCTTTCTCCTCCAAGGCGCGCGGAGCAACATCTCCCTTGGAAACAGTGGCTTCGCTCCGCGTTTGTGGTTCGTTTTCATGCGGTTTCTCTTCATGGTGCGTGATATCCGTTTCTTTTTTTTTCTCAGGTGCCTTCTCAAGGCAGAGCACTTCGCCAAGACGTTTTTGTCGTGGGGCACGAATTTTACTCTTTTTTGTAGACGCTCTTAGCCGAAGGCGTTTGCTGCTCTCTTCATGGCTCGTAGGAGATTTTTCTAAGGCGCCCTGGTCTTTTTTCGCCAGGTCATCATCACGGCCAGTTTGGGTGGACGGGGGCGACATGTCCTCCAAGACATCGTCCCATCCCTCCTCCTTTTCCGCGATGGATGGAGGTGTTTTAAGGGCAGATGTTATCACTGGGGGAGAAATCCTGGGAAAATGTTCCATGCGTTCTCCTTCTTTCTCTCCCTTATTCTCTTCTCGTTCCTGTTTTAACGGCGCAATGGCGGTAAATACGTTGGAAGTGTCGTTCTTGGCACTCGCGGTTGGTGGTGGAGCCACGGTGGTTATAATTTGCCTTTGCAGTCGTGAAAAGGCACCAAAGAGTGACTCGGAGGCATCCAACAATGCGTTAAACCCACCAGCCTCCACAGACGTCGCTGTTGTGCTGTCCATTTGAAGAAGTGGCGCCAGTGCATTCGCTGGCGGTAACGCCTCGACAGGTTGTGTTGCAATTACTTTTACTGCGGCTCGTGTTGCCGCAGGAGAAGGCGCCAACGACGACGATGATGTTGGCAGCGGCGATGGTGCTTGGATTTCTTTTCGTGGCGTTGGCTGCCACAAAAACACCGATCCCTTCTCTTCCGTCGCGGCAAGTTGGCGCTGCTTCCACTCAAGGCAGGTGTGCTGTCGGCTGCTCCGCCTCATCGTGTCCGCCCCCTTTTCATCACCCGCCTCCTCTTGACGCCTTTGCAGCTCCATCTCCCACTGCGCCTCCTCCTCGCGCCACACCTCCTCTTCCAGCCGCGCCTCGTACCGCTGCTGCGCCATCATCTCCTCCCTCGCAAAGAGCTCATAAAAGGTGTCGCGATGCGCCTCCTCCTCCTCTACAAGAGAAAGACGTAGACCGCTCTCGGCGTCAAACACGGCACACTGCTGGTTGGAGAGATCAACGAGTATTTTGTGCTCCACAAAGCAAACGGCCTCCACAGCAGACCGTGACTCCCGCTCTTGCAATAGAAGATAGCGGAGCTGCCGTTGAAAACACTCCATCGCATTCTTCCATAACACACGCACCCCACTTCGAAATGCCTCTTTCATCAGAGCAAAAAAATTAAACCCAAAGGTCAATAAAATGTCCTCCTGTTCAATAACAAAGGCAAAAAACACGCGCCGACGTTGTTCCTCCCGCAGCGCCAGATACAATGTTCCCAGAGCAGCACAAAAGGCGCTACTACCAATAAGGTTATCATACTCCTGCCTCAAGTGTCGCTGTAAACTTTGTCGTACATAAGCTTCCTCTTTAAAAAGAAGTTCGAGTTCCGTTGAAAACATTGATATGCCGCTTCCCATATCTTCATGACTGTCCACGTGAACTGTACTCCCTCCACGGAACGAGGAATGGCAAGCATCTTTTCGTACGGCTCTCAACAACGCTGCATTCACATTCCTTTGCTGCAGGGCCTCTTTCATGAGGGCCATATCCCTGAGAACTTGTTGGTGCAATTCATTCCGATGGTACAAATCCTCCTCCGCCTTCTCTTGATTGGGAAGAGAAAGACGATGTGAGAGCAGACGGAAAAGAAATTTCTTTTCCTGTCGGTGCAGCTTCGCCCACCGGGAGTGTGCCGCTCGACGAGCACATTGAAGCATCTCACCTCGCACATCCTCTGAAACCGGCCTCTCCTCCTTTTCTCCACGTCCCAGTTCCGAATCCTCCATTAGGGCCAATGATTCATCGAGAAAAAGAAACAACACAGCATGGGAGTACAGCGGTGCTGTCTTTTCAAAGGCAGAAATGACTAGCACAAGATTCTCCGCCACATCGTTCAGATACACCTTGCTGTCCCACCACAGCGTGTCTCTTTTTAATTTTCCCGGAAGGGTTTTGGCGGCGTCCACTTCCGACGTCCTCGACGATAGCAACGTCTCGTCTTCACGTTGTATCGCCAGTCGCATTTTGTGCAGAACATATGAGCGTATTCTTCGCCGCATGACTTCCACGGCAACCACAAAGCGCGGTGGTTCATTGGAGATTACTTGCAAGGCCAAAAAATACATTTCTGCCGGAGAGAAGGTAAAGGGTATGTCCTCGGTTGCCGCCTCACTCCCGCTGCGGGGTCCCTCAGACAGTGTGGTACACGACGCCTCAAAGGCGTTGAAAAGCAATGAAAGACACTGAACTTCAAGACAGTCCGCAACGTGCAGGTTAATCAATCGCCGTATTTCATGCAACGTCTTTATCCAGACACGTTCAATTCTTTCCGTCTCGTCCAGTGGAGGTCCCAGCACGGCGGCGCTCGGTAAAGTTGGAGAAACCGCAGTGGCAGCAAGTGCACACCCTACAGTTCCCTGTTGATCTCCCACCGCAGCGAACACTCGCGGGAACGTTGACAGAAAGACGGGCCGAAGAAATTCCAGCAGCAGGACGGCCCTGGGAACAGATTTCTGAAGCGTTGCCTCACTGCTTGCAAAAAGTGCTTCATGAAGCAGCTGCAGGAGATTGGGGTTAAAGGCAGCTGACTCGTCATTCTCCAGCACAAGTGTCCACAAAAGAAGGATAAACTTTTCACTGGTCGTGTCATCTGTGGGACTACAAACCCCCAAATCTGTGAGGGCGCCTCTCAGAAGAGACGCCCTGGAGGAGCCCAAGATATGGTGCATGGCCCGACTGATCTTGCTACCGCCGCCTCCTGCATAGCTGTCCCCGCTCTGGGGGGCTTCAGGAGACCTAAAATAATCTCTTCTTTGACGCTCGGTAAAACAGAGCGCTAAAAGAGGAACTTTCGCGGCGCACAACGCCTTCAGCACCTCTGCCGCCCGTTCCACTCGATCCCCACACAACCAACGCAACACCTGCGCCGCTCTTGAGACGAAGCGGTGCGACTCCTGCGTTTTTCCGCTCCTTTCAGCGGTGGCGAGGTGGAGGATGAGATACACCACCGGCAGGCCACCGGACATGGCAGTAAGCGGCCAGTCCTCGAGGAAACTGAAGTTCCATTCATGCAGAAATTCCAATAATGTCTCAAGCGTACCATCGGACTGCAGGCGTTTCTGGACGGCAAAGAAGACGATTTGACTTATGTCCACGTTCGGGGCAGAAGATGCTTCCGCGGCATCCTCACACGCCACAGCCACTTCCAAAAGAAGCTGCAAAAAAACAATAAAAGGATTTCGCATGTCATCATCTTTCCACACGGCAAACGATGCGATCTCGCGCAGTGAAAGGTTGCCACGCATAAGAACCACCAGAGCATGCTGATATTTGGACGCATTTTGAGATCGACGTAAGTGCCTTAAGAGATCATCAAACGCGCGACCTCCGCCAGACTCACACGCAGCCATTTTTTCCCACTTCTGGACGACATCCTCCAGAAGAATTTCGCCCTCGCCCTCGCCCTCATCCTCACTACTAAGGGGGATATGATTCACCCAAGCAAAGAGCGCGGCTACCAGTGGTAACCACACATCACTTTGTCTTAATAGCCAACACATGCTACGTCGTTCATTGGGTGCGAGCAGAGAAACAAACGAATCTTCATCGCGTATTGCCGAATCGCGACGTCCCGGTAATACTTTTTGAGTGTTGACAGCCCCAAGCATGAGAAACGTGACATCACGAAGGACGTTATTGTCGGCGTGTGCAATCCAATCCAGTTCCACAAGGAAAGTCAATAGAAAATGACGAAGAGCATTGGCCAATTCACGAACCTCCTGCGTGACGTTCACCTCCATACACTGAGAAAGTTTCTCCAGAATTGACATCGTCACAACAGCACTTCTTCCCAAAGCCACGCTTTGCCATGCCTCATACATCACAGCTTCGGGAACTGTACCATCTAGCAGAGACTCGTGCAACATACTTTTACTGAGGCCATCGGCCTTCGACAGACTCTTGTTTCGCATGGCGACAGAGCGAGCAAGACACGCAGCTAGTATCTCAGTTGTCCCCAAATCATCATGGAGAGCGGTTTTCCCACCTTGTGGGCGTGTATATAGCCACTCAGAGGCTTGGATTTTCTTTCCATTATCGGAATTCTGCTTCTCAGGAGTTATTTCAAGAACATACGTCAAACGAGTCTTCTTCAACAATGTGTTCACACTTACAAAACAACGCAGTGCGCCATTCTTTGAGGCCGCAGGAAGTGAGGATGCCATGGAGGTAGGCAGCGTGTGATACCATGAGGTGGCATCCGCATCACTCATCG